AGGTTGTTCTGCGGACCTGCCTCGTCGAACCCAATTAGGTCGGTCACCGCCCGAGTTGGTAGGGGTCGAGACGGCTGTGCGCCTAGAGGAACGTGGGGCGCCTAAGCGCTGCGGCAGGGGCGCCTGGTGCCTTTCCTTCCACGCTGCCTCAAGTGCGGCCTTGGCCCTCTGCTCTCGGTCGGAAAGGGGGCCGAGCGTTGCTTCCCGCGTGCGAGATCAAGCAAACCCACTGTCTCTTCGTAGTCGTTCGTTTCTGCAAAAAACTCCGAGGGGTCGTCCCCGATCTTGGCTGGTTGCCCGGCCATGCGCTTGTCTAGGTCGTCGCCGAGGTCCTGGATGCTACTGGCCGCTGGAGCTGCTTTGGCGCTCAGAAGGGGTTAGCCCCGAGGCAATATTCGGTCTGTGTTTGTGGCCCTCCGGGGTAGACCGTGCTCCCATCCCGGGCCAGGATGGCACGGACATGGGGATGGTCGTGTCGACCGTTACGAGCTGTGGGGCCCCGCCTGCTCCAACAGGAAGTCTGCCAGGCGGGTGTTGTCGGTCGCGGCTTCGCCAGCCTGCATCCAGAGGGACATGGTCGACGCGCATGCCGTTGGTGCTTTGGTGACCGTTTGCTGTCCAGGGCGCGCAAAAAGACGGGGAACTTTACGTCATTCAATATCGCTTCCCCTAGGATGTCGTACTCGCCAATTCCCAGATTCTCCCATACATTCCCATTGAGATCAACGTTCATGTGTGTCCGTGCCTATTTCCCCAAACAGCGCTTGCATTTATAGGTGTTTTTTTTTCACTTCTGGTTTAAGGAACTTGGCTTGGTTGGCGGGCTGGCGGTTACGTCGCATCCCACTCGCCGCCTCGTCGCCGCCCGTTGTCTGGGCCTGGCTGGCGGTATGACGGTTGTGTTGCCGCCGTCGCCCCCTCGTCGCTGCAAGTATTGCACAACAAATATTGCGTTGCATGTACCGCGTAACATAGATTGCGCAACGCTGGTTGTACCGCGTTTATGTCACAATTGTTTCTAACAGCGTTGATATTCCAGTCGAATGAATATTACAATCTCCCCCCAGACCCCGGCGTTAATGGTATATTTTTTCGCAACGCTGTCCCATCGTCCATCCTAGATCTGAAGTCATCCCATCCCAACCCAGCTGGAGCTCCCCCCTCGCCCCATGCAGAACATACAATGCGCGTACCCGGTTATCAAGCATCATATTTAACCAAGAAGCTCCTTTTTTTCAGGGACAACTATAGCGAAATGCACACGCTCGCGTCGTCGCGCGCGCATGCCATAATTACTCGGGAACATAAGAAGTTTCGTAAGGATTGCAAGCCGAAACCATAAACACAGATACACACACATTATATATATATATAGAGCCCTGTGCACCCACCAAGAACCCCCCCCTTCTCATGATTATATATGATTTTACTTTTGATTCCCACGATTTTCGGACTCACTTTTGAGGCTCTTCTTTGGAAGACTTGTTGGGCTCCCTTCTACTCAACTCCCTCCGTCTCCAACACAACACCCAGTACTCAACAGCCTCCTTCTCCAACACAACACCCGATACTCAACAGGCTCCCTCCCCAAGCTGCACCAAGAACCCCCCTATCTCATGATTATATATGAATTTATGTATGTTTCCTACGATTTCCGGACTCACTTGTGAGGCTCTTTTTTTGGAAGACTTGTTGAGCTCCCTTCTACTCAACTCCCTCCGTCTCCAACACAACACCCAGTACTCAACAGCCTCCTTTTCCAACACAGCATCCGATACTCAACAGGCTCCCTCCCCAAGCTGAACTTAAAAAAAACCTTCTACTCAACTCCCTCCGTCTCCAACAAAACACCCAGTACTCAACAGCCTCCTTTTCCAACACAGCATCCGATACTCAACAGGCTCCCTCCCCAAGCTGAACTTAAAAATAACCTTCTACTCAACTCCCTCCGTCTCCAACACAACACCCAGTACTCAACAGCCTCTTTCTCCAACACGACACCCGATACTCAACAGGCTCCCTCCGTCTCCAACACACGCACATGTACTCCAGATCCTACCACCACAACGCGACGCGACACCCGAAACTCCAACCGCACCCGCCCTCCTTTTTTCTTGGCATCTTCCAAGAGAAAAGGGGGGTTCATGGTGGGTGCACCGGCCTATATACATACATATATATATATATATATATATGATGTTGCAGTAATGGTGTTCTAGAACAACGCGCGCCCGCGATATTGCGAGTTTGTTTCATTGTTTGGGGTCAAAACAAACAATTGGCAATAACCCCTCGCCCCCCAAGAAAAAAACGAAGTGCAGGCGCGCACGTCGTCGCGCGCGCATGCCTGAATCAGGCAAAAACCGCACAAACAAAACTGAGCGCGCACGGCTTCGATCCTTTGAAGAAACGATCGGCTCTTCAACGTTGCCATCAAAATTTTCCAAACGGGCCACGCGGGCCGTTCGCGCGCGTCGGCCGCGCGCGCATGTCGAACTCCGTCCAAAACATTAACACATACGCGAAGACATCGTCATCGTTATCGGCGGGCGTGATCAATATCGGCGCCGTCAACCTCATCGCTACTCTCATCATCGTGTCTATACCTGTCGGCGTCGCCCTGATACCGAGCCCGCCCAAGCCACCGACTCGCACTGAAGTGCCCGCGGGCAAGTGCCCAGCGGTCACCGCCACCACGGCCGCGTCGGTCGCGCCGCACTAGTTGGTCGCTGCGTGCGCGAGCATGCGCGGGCTAGCGCGGCCGCAGGGATGCACCAGTCAACGCCAAGCACTCACCGCAATCGTTGTCGCATGAGTTTTGTGAACCAACTTGCGTGTGGGTGGGTGGGATGTTTGCGCGGACAGTGGACTTGACAACTTCATGTTCGGCAGGGTGAATTGCACCGCGTAGATTGCAGCACATGGAACACAGCATTGATAACATAACATCGCTTGCACCACATGAAAGGCAGAACCGAGGTAGGACAACATACATTGCGCTGCGTAGACCGCACCACATATACTGCACAACCTGGATCCCATCACATCGATCGCACCACATTTGATTCCCAGCTCTTGTGTGTATAGATACACATAATGCCCCACTCTGGATTGCACCCGGTCGGTTGTGCCACATAGATTGCACACAGCATGGATCGCACCACACACGTTGCACAACATAGCTCGCCCCACATCAACTGCACCACAACTATTGCGCACTACAGTCTGCGCAAAATCCGCCGACCCTGTCGGCGTGTGGAAGACGCATCCTGGTGTCGTCGTCTTGCGTGGATCACCGTCGTTGTCGTCGTCGTCATCGTCGTCGCCCGAAATAAAAAAAATCGAACCCGAAACATGAGGAAATCGTAGTCGTGGTGAAGCCCCTCCCTACCCTCCCCACTAAGTAAGAGGGGGGGGGGGAGGGGTGGACGGGGGGGGGATAGAGGGGGGCGGGAAGCAGATACGCATCCCCCCGGGCGACCCTCTCCCTCCCTGTCCCCCTCCCCCTCCCCATCTCCTCCTCCTCCTCCTCCTCTTCCTTCTGCTCCTCCTGCTCCTCCTCCTCCTCCCCCTCCTCCTCCTCCTCCTCCTCCCCCCCTCCTCCTCCTCCTCCTCCTCCTCCTCCTCCTCCTCCTCCTGCTCCTGCTCCTCCTCCTCCTCCTCCTCCTCCTCCTGCTCCTCCTCCTCCTCCTGATCCTCCTCCTCCCTCCTCCTCCTCCTCCTCCTCCCCCATCCTCGCCTTTCTCTCTCCTCCTCCTCCTCCTCCCTCCTCCTCCTCCTCCTCCTCCTCACCCCCTCCTCCTCCCTTTCCTCCTCCTCCTCCTCCTTCTTCTCCTCCTCCTCCTCCGCCTCCTCCTCCGCCACGTCTTCATTTACTTCCGACGTCTTATCATGCATCCCGTCACCCTCGAGGACCGAGGTATCCAGGGTCGGCGGCACTGGTCGTAAGGCCTTAGCAACAGATTGCACAATTTAGAATGCACGCTATAGAGGGCATCGAATACATCTCCACACAGTTCGCTCCACTTATATTGCCCCACGTGCATGGCACAATCTAGAAGGCCTAACATATTTTTGCACAGCATAGAATGCACCACGCAAGGTGCACCGCACATACTGCTCCACATAGGATTGCCAAACAGAAGTTACTAGAAACACATTACTTGAGGCCCACGCTGGCCAACGATGCTAACACTTCCTCTCCTGAAACTTCGCGTAGCGCGCTTGCGTTCCCAGACCCCTGACGCCATGAGTTTCTCACCTTGTAGACTCTCAGAGGTCGCGACCCATCCCTGGGGCCGGTTGTTCATCTTGTGTCATTGTTTGACTGCCCCGGGGCTTGGCGAGGGCTCTACAGAGGTCGGAAACAGCGGAAAACCTTGCGTCATGAACTTTGTCACGCCACGAGGGGGTCTGGGTGCAACCCGCTCGTGACTGCACATCGCTGTATGAGGAGAGACGGGTCCGAAAAGCCTTAAGGCATCCTCTTCCTGCTCCTCCATATGCTCAGCATGTCTATCCTAATCCTAATCCCCATCCTCATCCTGATCCTCACCCTCGTCCTCATCATCTTCACTCTCCTCGTCCTCATCCTGATCCTCCTGACACTCACCCTACTTCTCCTTCTCCTTCTCCTTCTTCTGCTCCTGCTCCTGCTCCTGCTCCTCCTCCTGCTCCTGCTCCTGCTCCTGCTCCTGCTCCTACTCCTGCTCCTCCTCCTCCTCCTCCTCCTCCTCCTCCTCCTCCTCCTCACACTCACACTCTCACGCTCACACTCACCCTCCTCCTCCTCCTCCTGATCCTCCTCCTCCTCCTCCTGCTCCTCCTTCTTCTCCTCCTGCACTTCCTCCTCACACTCGCACTCATCCCCACCATCCTTTTCCCCCTCCCCCTCCTCCTCCTTCTCCTCCTCCCTTCCCGTCCTCCCCCCTCCTCCTCCTCCTCCTCCTCCTCCTCCTCCTCTGCCGCATCCTCCTCAGCCTCCCCCTCCTCCTCCGCGCCGTGCCCCCGAAGATCTGAGCGCGGCGCGGGAGTTCGTGCCGCCAACGTCCGCGGCCAGCACCAGGCCCGAGCCCCCCGCATCCGCGAGTCCTGCGGCGCGGGCTCGGCCCTCCGCGGCCGGCCGCCCGGCCGCAAAACGTCAAACGCCCGAGGACCGCTTTTCCTTCCTGGCGAGAATTGCGCGGAATCTCCGCGGCCCACGGCGACGACGACAAGGACGACGACGATGAGGAGGAGGAGGAGGGAGCGGAGGAGGAGGAGGAGGAGGAGGAGGAGGAGGAGGAGGATGGCGATGGCGACGACGACGACGACGACGGCGACGTGACGACGACGACGACGACGACGACGACGACGACGACGACGACAAAGACGACAAAGACGGCGGCGGCGACGACGACGACGACAACGACACGGGCCCTCGTTCACGGTCAAGAGGCTCGGGTCGGTCTGGAGTTGTTGTTGATTCTTCGTGGGCTGTTGTTCACGTTCTGAGCTGACAATGGGAAGCACAGAGACATACTAATATGATATGTCCTCCTTGGAGGCGCGCGTCCGACCCGAACACATAGTATACCCACATTGTAGTATATCGTTTCCCGAGCGGTGAGGCCAGAAAGCGCCCGCCAGGACGCATGTACTATTAAGATTTCTCGGTGCGTGCGTCGCCCCTGGGGGGCGACGCACACATAGTATTCGTATGCTGGGGTGACGCCGAGAAAATGTGGGAGCCCAAACAAAAACATTCAAAACCGATGGAAACCAATAAATTGTACGCTCTGGGGCCCCCTGAAGTCTGGGAGCCCTCTTGGAGCTTCTGGGGGGCGGCCTGGGCCGTCTCGAAGCCTTCGTGGTGCGCCTTGGGACCGTGGTGGACCATCTGCATGTGACCACGTGCGTCTGGGCCTGATTTTCTGGCGACTCGGGTACGCACCCTGAGATCCTTCAGTTCAGCGATCTGGCCCTTGAGCGTCGCCCTGGAGGCGCTCAAGGGCCAGGCCAGATCACTGAGCTGAAGGATCTCAGGGGGCGTCTCGGGGGCGACTCGGCGCTTTGTTGGGCTGTTCTGAAAGTGTTTTTTGGGGGCAGCTCTGGGGCCTCTTGGGCCGTGCGGGCGCCCTTGGGGAGCCACTGAAACCGTGATGAAGCGGGCAGGCGGTGCTTCTGGGGCTGGGCTGGAGCGTCGGTAGGACCGAGGTGCATGGCGCGAAGTGCCAGCGCAGTCCTGCATTTTATATATGTGTGTGTATGCGCATACAAGCTCCCCTCTGTCGCGCAGGGTTAGCTCAGGGAGCGTTATTCCTGGGAGAAAAAGGACCCCCAACATTACCAAGCCCGCCCAGCAGAGGGAACAAAACTCCGCCGCGACGACGCCGATTTCGACTACGACTACGACTTCGAATACGATTTCGACTACAACCACGACCACGGTTACGACTACTATCACGACTAAAACCACGATTCCAACCATGATTACAAGCACTACTACAACCAAAACCACGGCTTCCCATTCCAATCCTCATGGCAAGATGTTGACGCATACTTTTGCGTGCAGGGTGGCTCGCAATGGTTTTTCCAGGGGAGACAGGAGCCCCCAACATGTTCCACCCCGCCCAACAGATAGAGGGCAACTGATATCCGCCGCGACGCCGACGACGGCGACGACGATTATGATAACGGGGACGAGGAGGAGCAGGAGGAGGAGGAGGAGCAGGAGGAGGACGAGGAGGAGGGGGGGTGAGGAGGATGAGGAGGAGGAGGATGAGGAGATGGAAAAGCAGGGAGAGGAGGAAGAGGAGGGGCGAGCGTGTTCCCCGCCGAGAAAAACAAGGGGGGTGGGGGGCGCAACAATGAAGACCTCCTGGGGCTACACCCCATGATTTGCACACATTTGATCGCACAACACAGCTTACACAACACAGATTGCACCGCATATATACTGCACAACGTGAACCGCTCAACAGATGTCGCACCAATTAAGTTGCACCACGTAGATTGCGTCGCGCGTTTTGCTCCAATCAGATTGCACCACACAGGTCGTTCCACGTACATTGCACTACAGATACTGCTAGAGACACACTGTTTGGGGTCTACGCTGGCTAACATGACATGGATACATGCGTTTTTTCTACACGTATGCATAGATTTACGTATGTCTGTCTGTCTCTGTATGTATGTATAAACAGATGTGTATATGTGTAGGCTCTTATGTATAGGCCCTAAAGCGCCTGAATCTATTCATATCCACCGCCTGCCGAAATCCCCGAAGATCCATAACCCGTGACCGGGGCCGATCGCAACAACTTCGGGCCGATCGTCGACCATTTTGGGCCGATCACAATCAGTTGCTATAGGGCCGACGAAGTTGCGATGTGTTTGGGCCGCTTTGATTTTGTTTTGATTAAGGGACGGGTCGCGAGAGCACTTCTGGAATGAGTGGGTTCCCACTGGACAAAAGCGGTTGCGATACGCCCGATCACCAACGGTTCGACACCTCGGACGTTACGACTGCAAATCACATGGACTGCACAGCATTGTACTTCAAGACTTTCAAAGTCCGAAGACCCCAAGACCTTTCATGAGACCTCAGGCGCCCACATGGCCCCACCGGCTTCTTTAGGGACCCTCAGGATGCCTTAGTATTCTTCATTGTATACTTCACAACCACTTGAGGCTCTTCGGTGGCTCCTCGGAGGCGCCTTGGGCATTCTGAAGCTCCTTAGAAGTTCAGGGGCTCTTCAGAAGCATCTCGTAGGGTCTCCAGAGGCTGCTCAGAAGCTCGACAGAAGCTCTATACCGCCGTCTCCTCAGAAGCCTCACAAACGCCATTCAAATCCTTCTCAGCCCCAGTGGATCCCCGGAAGCTTATCGAGGCCCCCTCAGACGCTCCCCGGGGGATCTTCAGAAGTTCTTCAGCCGGTTCAGAAGCTTAGGGGCTCCTCAGAAGCTCAGAAGCTCAAAACCTCCTCAGCAACCCCCGAACGGCACCGCAATCCGCCTCCTCTACCTCCTCCACCTCCACGACCCCGACCCCGACGACGACGACCCCGACGCCGACGTCGACGACAAAGAACGCACGAGGAAGGACAACGACGACGGCGCCGACGACGACGACCATGACGTCCACTGGCCCCATGAGGCCGCTGGAGGCCTGTTGCTATCAGATGGCCCCATCGGTTTCGTCACCTGGCCGCTGGAAGCCTGTTTCGGACCCTAGGGCGCCCTGGGTAACATCGAGCGCGAGCAAAAAAGAAAAGAATGCAAACAAAAACTGAGGGCGACGCTTCCGTGCTCAACGCTCCTCGCTTGGGCATCGCCTATGGATGGGCTGGTAGGCATACTCGAAACGCCAGCGATTTCCCGGACAACACGCGCACTTAGAGCACTTTTCTTCACGAAGCAACGTTTGCCCTTCCCGTGAGCAGCGCGTCGGTCTAACCGCCGCGCTGCTTGGCCCTGGGCAGCATCCCACGCTTGCCGCCTACCGGCGAGTGGTCCTCATTCCAATCAAGGCCCACGTTTGAACCGATGAGCCTAATGCGCAGGATGGGGGAGGAAGAATATGGAGGCGGAGGACGAAGAGGGAGGTGTGGGGAAGGAGGAGGGGGAGGAATAATATGGAGATTTTTTTGGGCCAGGATGAATATGGAGACAGGGGGCGGTGTTTGATGCATGGTGTTTGGTGTATTGTGTTTGGTGCATGGCGTTTGGTGCATGGTGTTTGGTGTCTGATGCATGGTGTTTGGTGTATGGTGTGTGTGTGTGTGTGTGTGTTGGCGTTTGGGGTTCGTTGTTTGGTGTTAGGTGTCTAGGGTTTGGTGTTTGGGGTTTGTTGTGTGGGGTTTGGTGATTTGGGTTTCATGTTTGGGAATTCGGTTTTCGTGTTTGGGGTCTGGTGTTTGGTATTTGGTGTTTGAGCCTTTGTGGAATGCGTATGGTGTTTGGTGTATGGTGTTTGCTGTATGGTGCTTGGTGTTTGGTGTGTGGTGATTGGTGTTTGGTGTGTGGCGTTTCGTGTTTGAAATTCTGTGTGTGGGGTTTGGGGTTGGGGGTTGCTATTTGGGGTCTGGGGTTTGATGTTTGGGATTTGGGGTTTGATACTTGGTGTTTGGTGTTTGGGGTTTGGTGTTTGGTGTTTGGGGTTTTGTGCTTGGTGTTTGGTGTTTGGTGTTTGGTGTTTGGTGTTTGGGGTTTGAGGTTTGGTGATTGGTGTTTGGTGGTTGTAATCCGGCGTGCTCCTGGTGCCTGCTCAACCGGAACCCTACAGGCTGCGAGCAGTCCCTGTGCAGTGGTTGCAAATCGGCCCGACATGGTTCCCTGAACGGCCCGAAGTGGCAGCGATCGGCCTTCCACTTCCCCCGGGCCCCCCCTCCGCCCGCGCCCGTGGGGGGAGTTCCCGCCCTCGGGCGGCGCTCGGCGGCTGTCCTTGGGCGGGCGGGCCCCCGTCGCCCGTCTTGGGCGATGATGCTGATGCTGATGCTGATGCTGCTGATGCTGATGCTGATGATGATGATGACGACGATGATGATGATGCTGATGATGATGCTGCTGGTGCTGATGCTGATGCTGCTGCTGCTGCTGCTGCTGCTGATGATGATGATGATGATGATGATGATGATGATGATGATGATGATGATGTTGATGATGATGATGTGGGGCTGTCCTTGGGCGGGCGGGCCCCCGTCGCCCGTCTTGGGCGAGGCCGCCGCCTGCAGGCCCCACGCCTCCTTCGGCGGGGCGGCGCTCCGGGGCGGTGGCCTGCGGGGAGGGCGCCCCGCGGGGAGGGCGGGCCCGGGCCCTGCCCTCCCCCGAACTCTCCGCGGGTGGCCGGGGGCGGGGCGCCCCAGACGCGGGGGGGGGGGTCGCACACGAGCGTGGCCCGGGGCGAGTGCGGGGCCCAGGGAGGAGGAGGGGGGGGGGGGGGGCAGGGAGCGCGCTTGAAAGAAGAAGGAGAAGAGGAGGAAGAAGACGGAGAAGAAGGAGGAGGAGGAGGAGAAGAAGAAGAAGAGCAAACACAATCATAGTACTAATACTAATAACACTGATGATAAGAAGAAGGAGGAGATAATAAGAGTAATCATAATGAGAACAAATAAGAGGAGGGCCCATGAAATCCGGAGAGACATCATGGCTCTGGACATGAGATCCCTCCCTAATCGTCGTCTCCTCCCCCCCCCCACCTTGGCTAGCCCCGAATCTGCTCCCAAATCTCCCCCCGGTGCTACTGCTGCTCCTCCTTGCGGGGGAGAGGCAATCGGCAACAACCCCGCAGTCCAGTCCCCATGTACCAACAAATCCGACGGGACAAATTTCCGCTGGCGGAGCCGCCGCCTTCTACTTCCGCGGGCACTCGGCAGGCGTCAGCGAAAGGCGGCATGCGCCGAAGGCGGGGCCTTGTCTGGAACGAGCCAGCATCTTTACAGCAGGTTCGTGTCGCGCCGACCGTGGCTTTGGTTCCTGGCATCGTGGGGATCGTTCGACCTGGAACGATCGGCCGTTGCCGAAACGCCAGGCCGTGTAGCATCGACCGATTCTGGGTCGCCGGCGGCGTTTCACGTTGAACGCCGAAGGCGTGGCGAAGGCGGGGTTGCCGCCGGTCGACACAACGCGAACCTACCGTAGATGCTGTTCCCACGTGCGTTTCAGAAGGCAGGGCGACCTGCCTCCCGCCGAATCACTTGCCTAGAGGCCTCCTAGATGGGGTCCAAGTAGATGGGGTCGGAGGATCTCGCCGCATCGCCGATGCATCGGCGATGCACCTGCGATGCACTGGCGACGTCGGCGATGCATCGGCGACGCCGGCGTGGATAAAAACGGGCGCCGCAACGAGTCGCATCGCCGATGCGGCGCGATCCTCCGACCCCATCTACCCCGACCCCATCTAGGAGGCTCAGTTCACACCCATGCGCGGCTGCGTGCGACAAGGCCTCACATAGAAGCCAGAAGGATCGGCATGGCTGGTGCCACCGGCCTCCTGCCGGCGGGCCGGCCCCCGTCTTTTGTTTACTGCCAGCGCCTCCCGCGGAGGCAACCTGTCGATCCCTCGAGGGCGTGGCTCTTTCTGGAGCGCCCTGTGGACAGTCAACCCGTACAGTAAGGTTGCGCGGTAAGGATTAGGATGGCCGTATCGACGTTTTTCGAACGAGGCTGACGAGCGAAAGTCGCTAAGGACGGGCCGAAGGGGCAAGGATGCAAGGGTAACCTTGGGAAGGTTGCCCATCCTTACTAAGCGGATTGACTGCACATGTGCACACACACACACATAGACGTACAAGACTGCACTGGCTCTTCGCGCCATGCCCCGTGGTCCCTGAAATTGGCTTGCGGGTAGGATGTGAACATGTGCAAGTGCGCAGGAACCGCGATTTCTGATTGTTGCCACTTCCGTCATCGTCGTTGTACTGATGTTGTGCCTTCTCTTCCCGCATCTGTCCTGTTTCTCGTTCTCGCCCTACCCTGCGAAACCTTCTCCGTCCTCCTCACATTATGTTGGGCGAAAGCTCATCCTGCGAGAACCTCTCTTGGAGGTCTCACGAACATGTCTTCAAGGTCTCTTGAAATGCTCAGGGAGTCTCTATGGGTGCCTTTGGGGGGCCTCTGGGGCCTTCCTCAGACCACCTTGCTGCGAACCACGGTATCCATCAACGACCGGGTCGCGATTCTGAATGCTTCGGGGGTCGCAATGGAGCTACCTTGAGACGTCATGGGGTTGCCTTCGGGACATATTTGGGCCCTGTTGGACCGTCTTGGGGCTCGCTTCGACTGTCCGCAAAAACCCAAATCATTGATTTTACTGAGGTCTTTGCCACATGTTGGCCTCCTTGAGGATGGGGGGGGAAGCGATTTCAGGAGCTTCCCTCCTTTGGAGGATCTCCTTTAAAATGGCCCCAGGATAGCCCCCGAGGACCCCAAGAGTGCCTCAAGAGATGCCCAGGAGGCCCCACAAGGGCCCTAAGAGGCCCACAATATGCCCCCAAGAGGCTCCCAAGAGACCCCCAAGAGGCACTCAAGAGGCCGCGAGAAGCCCTCCCCAAAACGCCCCAAGAGGCCACGGCGAGATGGCCAAACTCATTTACTCAGAGTTACTAAGGTTTTGGCCACATGTTGGCCTTCTCGGGGAACCCTAAGTGAGGAGACCCCCTCCTTGTGATCGATCTCCTCCAAGATGGTCCCAACATGGCCCTCGAAGCTCCCAAGGGTGCCCCACGACGGCGCCAAGAGGTGCCCAGGAGGCCCCAAGAGGCCCTGGGTGCCTGCGGGCCGCAAGTTGCGTGGCGAATTCATCGGCAGTCGGCGGAGCATTGCGAGTCCGCCCCGTTGACAAAACCGACAAGTTCGACGCGACGTTGTGCATTTGAGGTGCCCGACGCATGCATACTCGTAAAAGAAAGCTGAAAAGGTGCCCGTCGCGATTAAAACAACAAATCGTGGAATCAACACGTAGCACCCGGCGCGCGTGGATAAGAGCGGGGGTGCGTCGGCGCAGAACGCTTCCGCCCAGGACCCCCCCGCCCAGGAAACAACGTCGAGCAGAAACGGGCCCACAACGGCCACGCACGCCCAGGGATTCAGTGAGACCGCTCGGGCACCCTCAATCTGATGAAAAAGGCCCTTCGCCAATCCATCTGCTTTGATACGTGCGGTCATGTTCCTGGCCCCTGCATTCTCCTCGTCGTCCGTATGCCCCCTCCGTTCTCATCATGCCCGTCCGTTTCCCGCCCCCCCTCCGACCCCCGCTCTCCCTCCGCCCCCCCCCCTCCACGCCCCCCCCCCGTCCCGTCGCCGCCCCCCCTGCTTCCCCTCGCCTCCCGCAAGAAGTCCACTACCTCCTCCGCCCTCTCGCCTCCCCCCTGGCCCTCCCGCCTGCAGCCTCCCGCTCGCTCCCCTCCCCCCCCCTGACTCCCCCTTGCCCGCTGCGAAAGCCCCCCCCCCCTCCCCCCCTCTTCCCGCCCCCTCTCGCCTCACGCCCACCCTGCCCCCCTCTCCGCCCGCCCGCCCCTGGACCCGCGCGTGCGAGCGCGCCCGAGCTGCCTGGGCACCGCCCCAGCGTCCGCGCGGTCCTCCTTCACAAGCTCGCCGCTGCCTTCGCGGGGGCCGGCCCGTGCCAGTCCTCCTGTTCCTCCTCCTCCTCCTCCTCCTCCTGCTCCTGCTCCTCCCTCCTCCTCCTGCTCCTCCTCCTCTCCTGCTCCTGCTCCTCCTCCTCCTCCTCCTGCTCCTCCTCTTCCTCCTCTTGCTCCTCCTCGTCGTCGTCGTCCTCCTCCTCCCGTGCCTCCCGTGCCTCCCGTGCCTCCCGTTCTCCTTCTCCTCCTCCTCCTCCTCCTCCTCCTCCTCCTCCTCCTCCAGCTCTCCCTCCTCCTCCTCCTCCTCCTCCTCCTCCTCCTCCACCTCCCCTTCCCCCTCCCCCTCCTCCTCCTCCTCCTCCTCCTCCTCCTCCTCCTCCACCTCCATTCCTTGTCCATATAAATAACCCATTCCTTTCGCACCCCGAGGCAAGTTTTTGGGGCGGGTCGGGCGTTTCGCCTGAGACGCCGTCACTATTTAAGATCCTGAAGCTTAAAAATAGCAGCAGCTTCACAGATGGAGGGCGGGTGGTTTTCAAAATGTGGCTGTCGCCATAGCGCCGCGCACATTCGCTCTAAACATTTGCAAAAGTTTCACGGATTCAGGGCGGGTGGTTTTCAAAATGTGGCTCTCGCCTTAGCGCCGCGCGCATCCGCTTTAACAAATTGAAAAGCTTCACGGATTGAGGGCGAGTCGTGTTTAAAATGTGGCTCTGGCCCCAGCGCCGCGCACATTCGTTTTAAACAATTGCAAGAGGTTCACGGATTGAGGGCGATTCGTTTCCAAAATATGGCTCTCGCCTAAGCGCCGCGCACATTCGTTCTAAACACTTGCAAACATTTTCACGGATTTCCATGCTCCACGTACCAGAAAGGGTGTTTTGAACGGATTCCGGATTATGAGGGCGCAACAGTTACGTTGATTCGCGGTGTTGAAGTCCCAGGAATCCTTGGCACGATTCAGGGTCGTCAAGACGCAACAGTCAGGTTGATCCGTGGCGTTGAAATCCTGAGAACAATGTTTTGGCATGCTTCCGGGCCTTCAAACGGTTGTCTTTCAACGAGGCAGTTCCCCCAGTGGAAATGAAGCGTTGTAGGGGCCTATGAAGAGGGAGCTTGGAGAGAAGGCTTGTTCCAACATCGCTGATGACTCTTGACCTGAATATCAAGCAAGGCGAGTTACCTGGGACGAGTGGATCAGTTACAGCCGCCACCCTTGGAAGGCATGTCGCACGGGATGCTCGGGGCTCACGCTCTGAGGGCGCCGCGCGGGGTGCCAAGGATCTCGGGGGCGGATCGTGGGCTCCGCGAAGGACACGCTCGCCAGCAGTGCTCCACTCGCCTCCGCAAAACGCGAGTGGAGAGGAGGTGGGCCCCAGGGCCGCGACCTCCAGAGCGCGAGTCGCCGTAGTCGACGATCATGCAGCCCCACCGTCGAGCGGGACGCCGCCGACGCAGGACATGGACACGCACACAGATCATCGACGCCAGGAGCGACCATGCGACCTACACAAACACGAACACAACGAACAACGGAAGACCGACATGGCAGAGAGTGCAGAAGACCGACGGAGACGCTGGACGCAGCGCCTCCTCGCCGCAGCCAGCGGCAAAGGAGAAGACCACGGCAGACACAACACCAGCAAGATCACTACAACGACGAGCACCAGCTGCCGCGTGGACGAGGGCCAACAGTGCACGTCGGCCAGCAGCAAAACTGTGACCAGCACGACGAGCAGCAGCACCACAATACCAAGCACGGCGAGACCACTGGATTGGGTCCAGATGCTGCCGCCACCCTTGGAAGGCATGTCGTGCGGGGTGCTCGGGGCTCACGCCCCGAGGGCGCCGCGCGGGGTGCCAAAGATCTCGGGGGCGGATCGTGGGCTCCGCGAAGGACACGCTCGCCAGCAGTTCTCCACTCGCCTCCGCCTGACGCGAGTGGAGAGGAGGTGGGCCAGGGCCGCGACCTCCGCAGTGCAAGCCGCCGCGGGGAGGGCGGCACGCGCGGCGGTGCCGCTGCTGCGCAACTCGCATCGTGCGAGATGCGAAATCGCTAAAGTCTCCTCCTGCTCCTCATCACCACCACCACCATCACGAGCACTATCACTGGCACTAAAACCACCATCATCATCACCATCACCATCACCACAACCACCATCACCATCATCACCACCATCACCATCATCACAATCATCATCATCATCACCATCATCATCAGCAGTATCATCACCATCAGCAGCATCAACAACATCATCATCACCACCACCATCATCGTTGTCATCATCAGCATCATCAACATCATCATCATGAACACCATCATCATCACCATCATCAGTATCATCATCAACGTCATCAACATCATAAGCATACACATTATCGTCGTCATACACAGCATCAGCATGACCATCATCAGCATGATTATGCTGATGCTTATGGTGATCATCACCATCGTCAGCATCAGTATCATCATCACCATCATCTGCATCTGCATCTTCATCGGCATAAATTACCTCATCCACAACTCCAGTCTCACCCTGATCCTCATCCTCATCATCACCACCATCCTCATCATAATCATCACCATCACCATCACCATCATCACAAACATCATTATCAGCAACAACACCATCGTACTCATCATCATCACCATCATCATCACCATCAGCAGCACCACCAACACCAACTCGTATTCTTATAACATAAAGCGCCGATGTGTTACGACAGCAATGTCTAAGCCAACAAGGCTCTAAGAACACTTCGTGCAAACCACATAGTTGTTAGAACATTATTTGGTGGGCCTGTGAGGTAGGCGTTTACAGATTCTGGGTTTCGACAGTAGGCCGAAAGATGGGGGAGTGGGTGGGGTCTGGGTCTGGGCTGGTGCTTAGGCGATCTGTTTCTACCAGTCTCGCAAGCCGACTGCGGGGAGAGGGGGCCCTGACCAGGCGCAAAACGCAGCCGAGATCTGGTCTATGGCCTACGGACGGGGAGGTGGAGAGAGGGTGGAGGGGCCAGGGGCCCGCGCCGATCGGCGAAACAATGAATACAAGAAACGGCGACACTCCACAGCGGCTTGTTAGAACATTATTTGGCGGGCCTACAGCTGGACCCAGGACAGAAAAACATGAGACCCTCCGTTGGCCAAGCTGAGGAACAGTCGAGGGTCCCCCCCCAGGATGCACAAGAGCATCCCATGAGCACGAAGAACATCGGTGCACCTTCCCCGAACTGACCTCGATCTCATACCTCGGCCCAGCCGCATCCCCGTCCCAACAAATTTTCGGGACAGAACTCGGGCCTCCGGCGGCCGTTCGGGGCGATCTGGGCACCCCCGGAACGCTCTCGGCTCGGCGAGGTGCAGCTGCTGGAGAGCACCCCGAGGCTGGAATCCTGTCGAGATCCTGCGAGAACCTCCGAAAACCTTGAACCTCGACCCCCCCCCTCGAAACTCGGGCACCCTCCCCGAACGGACCTCGATCTCACGCCTCGGCCCGGCCGTATCCGCAAGCCAAGACGCCTCGCCGCTGCCTGGGACGCCCCCGGCGCCGCTCCTCGGGCCCCCGCCGCCTCGCCCTCGAGGCCGCAGGCGCCGCCGTCGCCCGCCGAAAGAGGGCGCGGGGAGCGCTGCGGAGACGGGCCCCCGCCCCTCAGGAACGAGCGGGGCACGGGGGGGGGGGAGAGGGGTCCTCGTCGACGCTCCCCACCGCCGCCGCCCGCCGCCGCAGGCGCCGGCGCCGGCCCAGAAAAGGAAGCCGTCGTCCCCGCCGCCGCCGCCAGCAGCCGACGACGCAGGCGCAGGCCCGAGGAGAGGGAGAGAGGAAACGTAGGGGAGGAGGAGGAGGAGGGGAGGGGGGGGGGTCCGGTTCCAACCCCCCCCCCTCCAAGCGACCACAGAACGCGCTCTTTCAAATTACGAGACCCGGCCTGAAATTTGACGCGAACTCCCGCGGCAAGCATCCCACAGGAACTGGCCGTCAAGATCCAGGACGCGCTTGTTAAAAAGCGTTGGCCACCCCGAGTTGCGGCGTACTCCAATCTTCTTGCAATCGCTCGGACATCCGTTCCCCGTGCATGTTTCGGCTTCGTGCGCTTATTGTTCGTAAGATGATCCAAGATGCGCCTCGATGGTCCTCGCCAAGAGAAGCTCGAGCGTCCGTGCGATGCCAAGCCTCACGTTTCCCCGAGCGCGGCTGATCCCCCCCAGCTGGCGCGCGGGAGGGCGGTGCCCTGCGGCGCGTCGGACGACTTCCTGATCGACCCGCTGGAGCCCATCGCGGTGGGCGGGCGGCCGGGGGCGGTGTTGATGGGCCAATTCTCCACCATCACTGCCACAGGCAGGAGAGAGGAGGATGAGGCAGAGGAGGAAGAGGAGGAGGAGGAAGAGGAGGAAGAGGATGAGGCGAAGGAAACAAGAAGGATGAGGAGGAGTAGGAGGAGAAAGAGAAGGAGAACGAAGAGGATGAGAAGGAGGAGGACGAAGAGGAGGAGGCGAAGGAAACGGGAAGGATGAGGAGGAGGAGGAGGAGAAGGAGAAGGAGGTGAAAGAGGATGAGGAAGAGGAGGAGGAGGAGGAGGAGGAGGAGGAGGAGGAGGAGGAGGAGCCTCCCTTCTCCCCCGTCCTGCTGATGGTAATGATGGTGGGAATCGGCCCATCAAGCGTGGGGGGGCGCACAGAACGCTCTGCCTCGGTCGGCCGGGGCGCGGCGCGCGCTGGCTTCGCGACGCGCGCGCGGAGGCTCGAGGAGCGGGGCCGCCTCAGCAGCGCCTGCTACGGCGGCTGCTCCACCTCTCGCCCTGGCCGCCATCCTCCTCATCCTCCTCCTTCTCCTCCAGCTCCAGCTCCTCCTCCTCCTCCTCCTCCTCCTCCTCCTCCTGCTCCTCCTCCGTTTCCGCCTCCTGCTCCTCCTGCTCCTGCTCCTGCTCCTGCTCCTGCTCCTCCTCCTCCTCCTCCTCCTCCTCCTCCTCCTCCTCTTCCTCCTCCTCCTCCTCCTCTTGCTCCTCATCCTCAACCTCCTCCTCCTCCTCCTCCTCCTCCTTTCTCCTCCTCCTCCTCAACCTCCTCCTTCTCAACCTCCTCCTCCTCCTCCTCCTCCTCCTCCTTCTCCTCCTCCTCCTCCTCCTCCTCTTCCTCCTCCCCCTGTCGACTCTCCGCCCCCGCGCCCGGCGGGGCGGCTGCGGAGGATCCGCCCCCGCGCCCGCGCGGGGCCCAACGCGGAGGAGACGGCAGGCGCGTATGCGGGGCCCCCAGGACGCCACGGGGTGGCCAGCTCCGAAGGGGGGGTGGGGGAGTCCACCAGAGGAGGGGAAGGATGGAAGGAGCGGAGGGGCCGCTCAAAGGTTCTCGTAGCGGTAGCGAATGACGTACTACCTCGTCTGTAGCGGCGTGCGTGGCGTACCTTGTCGGCAACGCCGTAGAAGGAGCAGCGTGACAACATCCGGGCTGAAAAAAATGCCTACCCGGAAAGGTCCGCGTTGTAAATCAGGGCCCGTGGTCTCCACGGTCACGCGTCGCAGTCTCGTGCGGATCGTGCCGCATAGAGAGGAGGCCGCGCCTTTCGCGCGGGGGGAGGGGGAGCGGGAGAAAGAGAGGGAAAGGGGAGGAGGACCCCCTCCTCTTCCTTCTCCTACTCATCATATGTCTTCCCGTCCTCTCCCTGCCCCCACCCGCCCAGTCTCCATCCTCCGCGCCCCGCCCCCCTCTTGCCGCTGCTCACCCTCCCTCTCCTCCTCCTTTTCCTCCACCCCCTCACGCCTGCTCCTCCTCCTCCTCGTCCTCCTCCTCCTCCTCCTACTCCTCTTCTTCTTCTTCCTCCTCCTCCTCCTCCTCCTGCCCCTCCTCCTCCTCCCCCTCCCCCTCCTCCTCCTCCTCCTCCTCCTCCTCCTCCTCCTCCTCCTCCTCCTCCTCCTCCTCCTCCTCCTCCTCCTCCTCCTCCAGGTGGCTCCCGAGCGGGGCCCCGCGCAGCCGTTTCGCCCACGGCCGCGGACGGGCCCGCGACAATGGGGGCCCCCAGCGCAGAAGGCGCGACTCTCTGCGTCGACGCGTGACGATGATGTGGCCGGCCGCGCCGTGGTGTGGGCCCCTCAGGGGAGAGCGGCCCCCAGCGACTACGGCCAGCCGCACCAGACGACGCGCTGAACGCAGGTTACGCCTAGCCACCTGCCGCCAGGCGGCTCTGGACTGGGAGGCCCAGCTCCATCCGGCATGGCAGCCATGGTGGGGTCTCCGGTGGTCGGCGGCCTATGCGGAAGAGCAGTGGCAGCCCGACATGTTCAGCTGCAGCGCTGGAGCCATTGCGTGCGAGAAGGATGAGGCGAAGCAGGAGCCAGACACCTCCAATCACGACCCCGAGAGCAGCGTGAGCGAGCAGCGGGATGCCGTGATGCGCGAGAAGGGACGCGAGGCGTGCGTGCGAGAAGGGCGAGCAGCGGCTGCAACTGTAGATGAGGCGAAGCTGGAGCCCACCATCGCTAGACATTCCCCGTCGCTCCTCGTCGCCACGGCTGGATCTGCGAACACCGTTTGCGAGAAAGCTGGCGAGGCGAAGATAGTACCCAACGTGACCAGCTTTAGCTCAGATATCGGGGCATGTGTGAAACGGCGAGAGGCGTGCGTGCGAGAAGGGCGAACAGCGGCTGCTCCTGTAGCGGAGACGAAGCTGGAGCCCAACATCGCTAGACATACCCCGTCGCTCTTCGTCGCCACGGCTGGATCTGACAAACCACATTGCGAGAAAGCTGGAGAGGCGAAGATAGAGCCCAACGTGAACAGCTACAGTGCTGGGATCAGGGCATGCGAGGAGGGAAAGGAGAAGCTGGAACCCGACGGCTGCGGCATCGAGGAGTGGCGGTTGCAGCTGGAGATCAAGAGGATCCGTGAGGCCAAGGCGGCGCAGGCGGCTGCGCGTGCAGCACAGGAGTCGGCGGCGGCCGCTGTCGCAGCTCACGGTCGTGGTGGATCTTTCCCTGCTGGACGATTTGGTGCCTTCCCGAGAGAATGTACAACGGAGGAACTCTGCCGCAATATGGTCGGCTTCCCGAGCTCAGGGGAGACGCCGACGCAGCCAGAGATCAACGTGGGCGAGCTGTTCCGAGACTTCGCCGCGACCACGGCGGAGACGGCCAGTTCCGCCCCGCCTGCACCCACTGCGGAGGAGCATGTTGGCGCGGATTGCAAGCAGATGGGAAGTTCGTGATTTCGAGCTTCTGGCATCCTTCCAGTTCGCTGTCGGGGGCGGGTTCCTTCGACTACGTGTCTGGAGGCGTGGCATGGAGTGCATCGGCCTCGTGGGGTACTTCTTCCTCTGAGTTGCTCGGGCCTCCGAAATTATTTCATGACTTCGTCAGTGGTCTCGTCTCGTCTCGCCTCGCCTCCTCCTCCTCCTCCTCCTCCTCCTCCTTCTCCTCCTACTCGCGCTCCCCCCCTCCACCCCCTCGTCCCCGCTGTGTCGCCTCCTCCTCCTCCTCCTCCTCCTCCTCCTCCTCCAGTTCCTCCTCCTCCTTCTTCTCCTCCTCCTCCTCGTGCTCCTCCTCCTCATCCTCCTCCTCCTCTTCCTCCTCCTTCTCCTCCAGCTCCTCCTCCTCCTCCTCCTCCTCCTCCTCCTCCTCCACTCCTCCTGCTGCTCCCCCTCCTCCTCCTCCTCCTCCTTCTCCTCCTCCTCCTCCTTCTCCTCCCTCCTCTTCCACCGTTACCATATTATGGTGTCATAGATTATCTTCCCTTCTCTTCTTTTTCCGCTTACCTGACATGATGTTCTCTTCCCCTATGGCATGCTATATTATATTCTCTCCTATCCTCTCTTCTCCTCTCCTCTCCTCTCCTCGCCTCGCCTCTCCTCGGCTCCTCATCCTCCTGCTCCTGCTCCTCCTCCTCCTCCTCCTGCTCCTCCTCCTCCCCCTCCCCCATCCCCGTCCCCCTCCTCCTCCACCTCCTCCTCCTCCAGTTCCTCCTCCTCCTCCTCCAGTTCCTCATCCTCCTCCTGCTCCTGCTCCTGTTCCTGTTCCTGTTCCTGTTGTTCCTCCTCCTCCTCCTGCCCCTCCTGCCCCTCCTCCTCCTCCTCCTCCTCCTCCTCCTCCTCTTCCTCCTTCTCCTCCTACTCCTCTTCCTCTTCCTCTTCTCCTCCTGCTGTTCCTCCTGATCCTTCTTCTCCTCCTCCTCCTCCTCGTTCTCCTCGCCCTCTCCCTATCCTCCACGATTCCTTTCCCATTTCTGTTTCCCCCCAGCCTTCCTGTCCTCCTCCACCTCCTCCTCCTCCGCCTCTTCGTCCTCCTCCTCCTCCAGTTCCTCCTCCTCCTCCTCCTCCTCCTCCTCTTCCTCCTGCTCCTCCTCATCCTCCCCCTCCCCCTCCTCCTCCTCCTCTTCCTCCTCCTCCTCCTCCTCCACCTCCTTTCCTCCTCCGTCCTCCTCCTTCCTCCCTCCTCCTCCTCATCCTCTTCTTCCTCCTCCTCCTCCTCCTCCTCCGTATCCTCTCTTTCCCATCGGGTTCTTTTACGTCCTCCGCCTCCGCCTCCTCCTCCTCTTTTCCTCCTCCTCCTCCTCTTCCTCCTCCTTCTCCTCCAGCTCCTCCTCCTCCTCCTCCTCCTCCTCCTCCTCCTCCTACCCGTCCTCCTCCTCAATCCCTCCCTCCCTCCCTTCCGTCGTCAACCCACCGCTGCGCTCCAACGCCCTCCTCACCAGCGCCCTCCTCCCTCTTCTGTACCCCCTCCCCTCCCGTGCCCGTTCTCGCGGCGTCTACGCCTCGCCGCGCGTCGCGGCGGTCTCTTGCGCAGTCCGCGGCGGACGCAGAGGCGCTCCGCAACCGGGAGGATGCGGAGGACAGGGAGGGCGGAAACCGGAGGGGGTGGAGGGGGATGAGGACGACGATGAGGAGGAGGAGGAGGAGGAGGAGGAGGAGGAGGAAGAGGAATGGGAGGAGGAGGAGGAGGAGGAGGAGGAGGAGGAGGAGGGCGAGGGGGAGGAGGTGGGCGAAAGGGACGAGACGGAGGACAAATAATACGATGATGGTGATATGCTGATGATGACGATGATGATGATGAGGAGGAGGATGAGGAGGGGGACAGGGAGGGCGGGGGGAACAGGAGCGGGGGAGGGATACAGGAGGATAGGGAGAGGACGAGGAGGAGAAGGAGAAGAAGGATGAGGAGGCGGAGGATCAGGAGGAGGAGGAGGAGGAGGAGGAGGAGGAGGAGGAGGAGGAGGAGGAGGAGGAGGAGGAGGAGGAGGAGAGGAGGAGCGGGAGGAGGAGTAGGAGAAAGAAGAGCAGCAGGAGGAGGAC